TTCCTCTTGTCTTCAAGCAAGCTTCTAGTCCGTGCAAGCTTCCTGCCCCGTGTGGCTTCGACTTCTGCTTGTGCAGAACTAAATTCAGTTTAATTAGAGGCAGCTTCATTAACACAAAGACACTTACTTGGTCTTTCGCTTTGACGCTTCAACTGTGAGGGTGCTGAGGCGCTGGCACAGGGTGCCCAGAGAAGCTGTGGCTGCCCCATCCCTGGCAGTGTTCAAGGCCAGGTTGGACACAGGGGCTTGGAGCAACCTGCTCTAGTGGAAGGTGTCCCTGCCCGGGGCAGGGGTTGGAGCTGGAGGAGCTTTAAGGTCATTTCCAACCCAAACCGGGCTGGGATTCTGTGAGCTCAGCTCTGTCCTTTAGGAACTAAACCTGCACACCCAGAGGTCACATCTCGTTGCTGGTGGGGCAGGTCATGGAGCTCTGGACACCTCCTGCTGCCCTGCAGAGGTCGGTGTCCATGGGAGGGTGTTTCCCCGCGTTCCCTCCTGCGCCATCCTCCGATCGGACACGGGAAGTGTCCTCGGGATACACTGGGAATGTGTCCGTGCTTCCAAGGAAATCACTGTCTGCAGAACCTGCAGAACAGGAGGAGGTGAAAGGGAAAAACCCATCAGTCCCATCCCCGTGGGTGTCCTCTGGCCAAAGTGATCCAGCGTCCACATCCTGCCGGGAGAATCCCATTGGATCTCCCATACGGAGCTGGGTCTCAGGTCTGCAGTCCCAGTCTCTTTGAAAGCTTTTCCATTAAGATTTTCCCCTGTTTTTTCTCTCCGAGGAGGATGGAATTCTCTCCATCCCCACTCTGTGTTCAGCCCAGACTCTCCATCCCGGCCGTGCTGCTCCTTCCCATTTGTTCTGGCTCTGCATCCCAGGGATTTACGTGTGTCACCAGCACCCCACAGACCATGTCCACTCACCTTGTTTTCTTTCCTTTTCCCTGTGGCAGAGAGGAAAGACTTAGGAAAGAAGAGGAAGAGCAGAAGAGGCAGAAGTTGTGGGCTGCTGAGGCCAAAGCCAGGAAGATGGAAGCTTTCCTGAAGGAGAGGGAGAAGGAAGTTCTCCAGCTCCAGGTGAGAGCAGCACAACGCTCCCGCGCTCCCTGCGTGGGATTTGATGGCAGCTCGTGGAGCCATGTGGAAGCTGGAGGCTTGTTTCCCAGAGATTCTTACGTTGGCACCTTCCAGGAGCGTTGACAGCGTGTGGATGGGATGGGGGTTGAGCGAGAGCTCTCAAAACAGGGTGGAATCATCCCAAGGGAGGGAATAACAGTTTCTTCCTCCTGGATGCGGCTCCTGCCGAGATCCCGGTGGCACCTCAGGGTCTCTCAGAGCACCAGCAGCTCCTGTGGTGCCTCATCCATGTGTTAAGAGCTGCTCCTTGTCCTTCCTTCCTTTAGGAGGAAGCCAAAACCTTCATCACCTTGGAGAACCTGGATGCCCGGATCGAGGAATGCCTGGACAACCCCCGCAACTACAACTTTGCCATTGACAAGGAAGGGCGGATTGTGAAGCGGACGATGTTGTCCTAACGGCCCCAAAGCCGCCACTTACGAGCCACTTTCTTTCCTTCCAATGTATAAATCCACCTGGAATTGGTGGGGAATTCCCCTGTGGGTCTGACTCCGCTTCTTCTGAAGGGTTAATGCCTGCGGGAAGGAGGGTGAGGGAGGAACTTGGGCTCACAAGTGAGTCTCAGCCCCGCTGCCTGAGGAGCTGCTGGTGTTCATGTGCCTCCTGCTCATCCGCTGTGATTCCACCTCCCACTGGATCCCTCCTGTTTTCACACAAAACATGTAGGGGGTGGAAAACGGGAATGATCCCAAGGCAGATCCTGGCTCTGCGCTCCCTGAGGCTGGTTGTGTGTCGACCCCTCTAGGTGTTTATGGAGGAAAACAGCTCTGTTCTCCTTCATAAGCATCTGAAAGGAATGTAGGAGATGCCAACCCTCCACTTCTTGTTCTTAGGGGGGAGGAATTCATTGTGCCTCTGGTTCCTGCTGCGGCCGAGGGACCTGTTGGTTCTGTTTGTGCTTTAAACCCTTCTTTGCACATCTCGGCTGTGGCTGAGCGAGAAAATGTGCAGAATCACTTCTGGTACTGGCATTTACGTGTCTCGTCCTTCCCTTCAGCCTCATTTTACTCATCACCTGTGGCTGCTTCTGACCAAGAGCTCATCTCAATCTCCCCTCTGGCAGGTTCAAACCATCCCCCTTATCCTGTCCCTACATTTCACCTTCACTCAAGCTACCACCAGCACC